CCAACTACTGACCTGATGACGTTATTACTTGAATTTTTGTTTCTTGCAAAGTTGTCACGAATAATGGTTGTTTGGTCATTCGCCCATTTTAAAGCCCTTCTTATTTTCATATATGAAAGTAGGTAATATGTGGAATCCTTTCACTTCAAATCCATAAATTCAGGCTCAGTAGAGAAAATGCTGCAAAGGTTCTTCCTCCAACTTCCTTATTGTTGTTTTTGCAAGATTCTAAACGACCACGAGTTATGATTGAATAGCTGAATAGCTAAATGGGTGAACAAATGAATGGTTGAGAATGAATGGAACGAAAAGAGGGAAGAAGCAATGAGCGATCGATGAACGAATGAAAATGAATGAATATACTGACTAAATGGGTCAATGAATAGGATGATGGAAGAAGTGCCATAAATAGATTTAATAAGCCAAATTCTCTGATCGCGTATCCTAAAATAGAAGATCGATATCCGAGATGAATAGTTGTTACTTGCTGCAGCCATTTTTCAACAAAGGTTCAAAGCGAAATGGGGCAGATGTCAAGTGCACAAGCTAGATAGCTTACGGGAAAGAGGGGGAGTCAGGTGGTACTCGCTCTCGTGGACGAACTCACCACCTTCATTCCCAGCTCTTTCTCAGTTTTGCCACCCATTAAATATATGTTCTCAAGAATTCTTAGATGGAGTTAATTATCTTGTGGAAATCACAAGATAATTAATTCCAATCACAAGACATTTTCTTTTAGAAACTCAGCTGCAAAAAATCCTATTTTGTAGAATTTTATTTTATTCTGGAATTCATCAACAATTAAAGTGTTTCACAACGTCTTAAGGCTTCGGCGCCTTGTATCGTCTAAATCTCCACAAAACCATTCACAACCTTCTTTGTTTCCATTGACGCAAACACATTTTCCACATATCTGCTGATTTACTTTCAGACATTACACAAAATCCAATTGTTCCACCCTTTTGCCCTTTCACCCCCGCTACTTTCTGCAATGCAGTAAAAGAGTCTCATTTGTAGCTACTAACTACTACTTGCATAGCCTCTTCATAACCTTAATCGCTCCCTCTATTTACTCTTATCAATCATTATCTTCTATTCGATAAAAATAGTTTCCTTAGTGACAGTTTGTGCTAGTTGTCCCTATTCTGACCTTCCATAACGTAGAAGTTTAGCTTTAACACATTCATAAATTCGGCGAAGAGTGGGTGTAGACCTACAGCTGCATCTCCACTCAAAAAGCTATTAACGCGTCAGTTGTACTTTTGGACCCTATGAACAAATAGTTGTCTATTTAACATGTAATCAATAAATCAACAAGATTTATCATTTAGTCAGAAATAAAAAAAGCGGATCGATCTTACAAATTCATCAGGTTTAATTGTATTTTTTTAAATAAAGACTTTCCACTTACGGAATGATTGCTGTATGTATAAGTTTGAAGTTTAATGTGGTGAATAACAAAAAGGGAGACTATAAGCAGCCTATTTACATGCTAGATGAAAGCTTTTTTCCTTTCTAAGTCCCTTTTCAGTGTTTTAGGACTTCTTCGAATTTTTTTCTGCTCTAAAAAACTCATGAAACAACAGACCAGTCTAAACATAAACCATTAATTATCTTTGAGTTCCTGCTCCTCCTTATGTTCATTTTTCAGTAAAGAACCTGTTCACCTTTTTTTCAAAAGCTCAACCTTCTAAGCATTTTTTGGTCTTTAAAAATCTAATGTTTCATTGCTTTTTAGTCACCTCCTTTGATCTGTGAGCAAGGACCATCAGCACCGTCGTCGCCAACGTCGCCACGACTTCGACGTCCTTTCCCACTAACCGAGGACGCAATGCATCGGATCAATCTGGTAAAATTCAGAAACCGGAAAATGTCAATAACCTTTTATCTATTGCATATTCTAGCTGAGTTCCGGGTACGAGTACGGCAAATTGTCGCCGATGTCGACATATGCGACATCGGATCTTGGCTCAAGTCCAAGATCGTCGATCAGCGTTACATCGGCAAACTTATCGCCATGGATCAATTTTCGTGAACATCATAAAAGCAGGTTGGTGTGAGAAAAAAAATGAGATTCAAAAGTATTGAAGTTAAAAGAGAAGAACTTGTAAGGTTCTATAATTCTGACTTTCTTATTTTATTATTCTTTT